ATAATAAAGGCCATATATGAAAAACCCATAACTAACATCCTACTCAATGCTGAAAAGCTGGGAGCTTTCCCCCTACAGTCTGGAACAAAACAAGGATGTCTACTCTCACTTTCATTCAACATAGTACTGGAGTACTACCCACAGACATCAGACAAGAAAAATAAAAGGCATCCAGATTGGTAAGGAAGAAGGAAAACTTCCACTCTTTGCAGATGACATATATGCAATAAACTTAAAGACTCCACCAAAATACTACTAGAACTGATAAATGAATTCAGTAAGGTTGTAAGATACAAAATCAGTATACAGAAATCCATAGCATTTCTAAGTACTAATAATGAAGTAGCAAAAAGAGAAATTAAGAAAATAAATCTATATTTGCATCAAAAAAAAAAATGAAATGCCTAGGAATGAATTTAACCAAGGAAGTGAAAAACCTATACTTTGAAAACTATGAAACATTGATGAAACAAACTGAAGACAACACAATTTGAAAAATATTCCATGTCATGGATTAGAAGAGCAAATTTTTTTTTTAAGATTTTATTTATTTATTTGACAGAGATCACAAGTAGGCAGAGAGGCAGGCAGAGAGAGAGAAGGAAGCAGGCTCCCCGCTGAGCAGAAAGCCCAATGTGGGGCTCGATCCCAGAACCCTGGGATCATGGCCTGAGCCAAAGGCAGAGGCTTAACTCACTAAGCCACCCAGGCAACCCAGAAGAGCAAATATTTTTAAAATGTCTATACTGCCCAAAGTAATCTACAGATTCAATGCAATCTCTGTGAAAATACCAACAGCATTTTTAAAGAACTAGAATAATCTTGAAAGTTGTATGGAACCATACAACACCCCAAATAGCCAAAGCAATCTTGAAAAAGACAAAACTGGAGGTATCATAATTCCAGACTTAAAAATCACTGCAAAGCTATAGTAATCAAATAGTATGAAACTGGCATAAAAATAGACTCACAGATTAATGGAGTAGAGAGCCAAGAAATAAACCCACGATTATATGATTAATTAATCTTCAGCAAAGGAAGCAAGAATATGCAATGGGAAAAACAGTCTCTTCAATAGTGTTGGGAAAACTGGACAGCTATGTGCTAAAGAATGAAACTAGACCACTTTCTGTCACCATACCCAAAAACAAATTCAAAATGATTAAAACCTAAACATGAGACCTAAAACCATAAAAATCCTAGAAGAGAATAAGCAGGCGGGAATCTGACAGCAGTTGTAGCAACATTTGTGTAGATAGGTCTCCTAGGGCAAGGAAAAAAAAAAAAACAAACCAACTTTTGGAACTCCATAAAAATAAAAAGCTTCTGTGCAGCAAACAACAATAAAACAAAAAAACCTACTGAATAGAAGATATTTGCAAATGACATATCCAATAAGGAGTTACTAACAAAGATATATAAAGAACTTCTACAACTGAACACCAAAAAAGCAAATAGTCTAACTACAGAATGGGCATAAGACATCAAGAGGCATTTCTCCAAAGAAGACATCCAGGTAGCCAACAGACTGAAAAGATGCTCAAATATCACTGATCATCAAGAAAATGCAAATCAAAACTATAATGAGATGTTATCACCTCATACCTGTCAGAATGGCTAAAATCAAAAGTCCAAGAAACAAGTGTTGCTGAGGAAGTAGAGAAAAACAAACCCCCTTGCACTGCTGGTGGACAAGCAAACTAGTGCAGCCACTGTGAAAAACAGTGTGGAATTACCATGTGACCCAGTAATTCCACAACTGGGTATTTACCCAAAGAAAGTGAAAATACTGATTCGAATAGATACAGGCACCCCTATGTTTACTGCAGCATTATTTACAATGGCTAAGATACGGAAGCAGCCCAAGTGTCTGTTGATAGATGAATGGATAAAGATGATATGGTATAGATATATAATGGACTATTACTAGCCATAAAAAAGAATGAAATCTTGCCATTTGCAAAAACATGGATGGATCTAGAACATATATTAAGTGGAATTAAGATAGAGAAAGAAAAATACCATGATTTGATTCATATATGGAATTTAAGAAACAAAACAGAGAAAAAAGATAAAGAAGAAACCAGACTCTTAAATACAGAGAACTGGTGATGGGTGAGGAGATGGGTGGGGGGATGGGTGAAATGGGTGAGGGGAATAAGCACACTTATCATGATGAGCACAGAGTAATGCACAGAATTGCTAAATCACTATACTGTATACCTGAAACTAATGTAACACTGTATATTAACTATACTGGAATTAAAATTTTTTTAAAATAAGTTTAAAAAAAGGTAACATTTCAGTTATCAAATACATACTCAAAAGAAATAGGGGTGGGGAATCAGGGTACAAGCCTAAATTCTTTTTTTTTTTTTTTTTTAAAGATTTTATTTATTTGTCAGAGAGAGAGAGGGAGAGAGAGCGAGCACAGGCAGACAGAATGGCAGGCAGAGGCAGAGGGAGAAGCAGGCTCCCTGCAGAGCAAGGAGCCTGATGCGGGACTCGATCCCAGGACGCTGGGATCATGACCTGAGCCGAAGGCAGCCGCTTAACCAACTGAGCCACCCAGGCGTCCCACAAGCCTAAATTCTAATTCCAGTTCCACCTTTATTCCCAGAATAGACTGCCCAGATTAAATAATTTTCCTCAAAAACAAAAACATTTCTACTTTTTCAGTTTAAAATATGTAAGCATAATTAATTAGAAATGTGATGAGACACTCAATGTCCATTAGTGAAAAAGAAAGTCATTGCAACAATCATATTGAACACTATTGCAGGAGTTCTGAATTTTAAAGCAAACAATATTAAACAGGAATATAACACAAATTTTTCATTTTAGATATGTTGTTTTTATTCAAAAGAATAATTGCTCGACAACTTACGTTACAAAGTTTGAACCAAACTACCAATCCCCCGAAACAGCCCTGTTTGTATCCTCACAGCCACAGGGGCTGATCAAGTCCTTTAGTCCCTTGTTGCTCTCAAATGCTGAGAATTGTCGTAGCTGAAACCACTGTTCTGGTGGACAATTAGAATAACTGTTTCCACCATCTTGTTCCCCACACAGCGGCCCGAAGTTATCTTCTGCCCCTGGGGCTGGACCATCTGTTTTTGTGAAAGTTACAATATCGCAGTTTATAAAAATCCAAATTGTTCCTTTGATTTATATTATCTAACTGAATCATAGAAGTATTACTATGATGTTTAGAACACTGATCGACTCTACTTGCTTTAAATACTTTCTCAGATCTCTTTCATGTTTATTTTCAGTGATCAGTAAGCATGACATAATAAGCAGGCCAAAAACTCTGAGATGTCCACATGTTCCCTTTTCAGTTTAGTAAGACTTCACATTATATAGCGTTTTTGTATGTTACAAAAGTTGGTACAGTACACCTCTACTGGGAAAGCCTTAGACGGAATTCCCATTATTACAGTAAAATTGTAACTAGAAACGCGACACTTGAAGCAGAATACATGCAGAAAATTAAATCCTTTTAAAAAAATGAAATTGCTGTAGCCCCACACCAAATTTGTAATTGGCAAAAAATCCATTTCTAATCTGGTAAATGGTGGCATAACAAAGTCAACTCATTAGCTTTTCAACTTGGTGACTGCAGCTGAAATGTTCTCTCTGAAGCATGCCACCATATTGAACATTTGATTTGAAAGTGTAGAATTAAGATTCATGAAATCTTGATATGTAACCTTTCTAGACCTTTCCTCTTAGAATCACCTAAGTGATGCTACTCCAGTGTGTTCTGGAGACTTCCCAAGGATCCCAGTTTCTCTCCTGCTTCCCCTATTCATAACCTTCACATCTATTTGAATCCATTCTAACAAGTTCACTAAGAGTCTAATACCTGCTTAGTCACTTATTTCTGAATGGCTTCAGACCAAACTTTCACCTGTGACATATGGATTTCATCTATGAAAAGGAAGGCGATGCCCTGCCTTTTTCACACAAGTGTCCTAAGGATAAGATGTCAAGTATGCGAAAAATCCTTTAATTATAATGTGCTACAATTAGGCATTACTGTTTTCTCTATGACAAGCAACAGCTTTGTCCTCCACCCAAATTAGAAAATACTGTTCTGGATATGCATTCAGCATGTTATTAATTGACGACTAACCTGATGAACTTGAGAGAACGTAATAGATTTGGGTTTTCCCTCCATATCAATACATAATGAAGCTCACTAAGACATGAATGGACAGTATGACTATCGGTGACTGCAAGGTGACAGAGCCAACACTGACCCCTTGGCATGGATGACCCTGCTGTCCACTCCACAGATGAGCAGTGCCAGCTGAGGGAGTTAGGATTTGATACCACTTGTGGTTTTGATTCTTCTGAAACAAAAAACTGCAGATGAGAGCGTTAGGTACTTATTTGTAGCCATCAAAAAAAGCAAGATAACTTTCTTACTGAATTGCCTCAGACAACATTTGCTCATTCTGTGTTAGACCTGAGGAATTCAGGCTATATGCTGCCATCTAGGGATGGTATTACAAAAGTTTTCTGACGAGAAAACCAAACTTGTCCATTCTGTTGGACATAGCTCACCAGTAATTTCTCTTGTCAAATTTAAACAGTGTTCCTATACCTCTCCCAAGGTCTTTGATGCTCATTGCCATGAAAATCTACTTTCCTCAGAAATGCATCAAACTTCTATGTGTTTGAAGTTTCACAGAAGTTCCTGAAAAAAATTTCTCTTTACAAGTTACTTTTATGTATTATTCCTATAAAAATACCAAATTCTTGTTGAAATTTCACAACTGAGAAAATCATGTGTGCTGACTGCAGATAAATGTCTTGTACGTTAATACTTCTATTGATTAAGAAGTGTCTTATAAACCCGAACATGAAATCAAATTATAAATTTCAAGTTCTTCCTTTCAGTGTTAGCTGAAAGCAAAGAACTCTATCAGGATGACAAAGCCTAACTGCTGTCAACTGCATAAATCGTAGCTAGTACTAAAAGACACAGTGACTTTCCCCCAATACTGTACAACATTTTATTGTAACAAAAATAATTAGATGCATTTCATAGCAATATATTATCATATAGGTACACACTGAGAAGGATAAATTGGATAAACAATAAAACAATATCTTACTATACATCCAATTAATCTAATTTTTGGGAAAAGAAAAACATAAAATCATCCCTTTTTATATAATTCTATAGTTTTTCCAGAGACTTTATAGACAACACAGAATCAAGATGTAATCGTAAATTATTATAATTCTAACCTTAATATTAGAACCTGTAATGTAAAAATTCCAGTCATATCTTGCTAGGCATTTGCCAAATGAAATCAAATGTTTGTCATACAGTGGTTTTAAGCTTGTACAATAATAGTCAAATGCTGTATACTGCCATCGGCCCTTCTGTCTGATTTCACACACTAGCTGAAATATTAGTAAACTCACATTTTTTCACCTGTTTAGTCTCTGTGTTATCACTTCTCGATACATAATAGAGATATAGATGAGCAATAGAAAGATGACAAAGAAATCATCTAGAAAGCCTAGAATTCCAAACAAGGCTTCAGGTACAAAATCTAGAGGTGAAATAAGATAGAAAAAAGCTCCCATTAAACAAAGTATAATCCTGATGCGGAACATCCAGAAAAGGCCCCCGACTGAAAACATTTCCCTGAATGCATGCCTCAGTAAAGTGGGTAGATCCATAATTCTTTCCATAATCTGGCAGGGAGAAGAACAAAATATGACTAGTCATCTAATATGTCAGATATCAAAATAATATAATTTTCTTACAATGTGCAAACTCAGTTAACATGAATTAAGGAGTTTCACGTATTTTCTAGTTACACATTTTATTTGAAAACAGCTTTTTGATAACTAGGTTCTTATACGATCGATCCTACTGCAGATAACTGAAAAGCAACTAAAATGTCAACAAACTTAAAATATAGGATATAGTGAGGTAACTCAAGTCCTCTCTAATTTGAATTAGTAAAATAAACCAAATGAAGCACTTAGTGTATATAGGATTAGAGACTGAGGCTTGAGCTGGGTCTGGGTTTAAACTCAACATCAATCTTTTGGTAGACGGGTGATCTGGGGCAAACTGGTTTAACCAAATTGAGATCCGACAACAACTAACCAAGTATGTGTCACAAGACTATCAAGAACTAAAAGAGATACAGTATACAAAAGACATTTATAAATTGCCAGACAATATAAAAGTGGTATACTTTAAAGACACATTAACTTGGATGGCTTTGACAGTCTAAGAATAGCAATGAAACGGATTCCTTCCTAGGATGTTTATTTGGCTTAGCTTGAGTTTCAGCGAATTACTAATTGCCACAAAGATTTTTGGAGTGCCGGACCCTATCTTTATGAAAATAATTAAGCTTCTGAATACGTACAAAAACATCAATTACCAGGTTTCTACATAAGTGAGCATAATTTTCACAGCTGAAATTTAACAAATTGCATAAGTTTTTGAAAATTGAGGCATTCAGAGAAATTGGACCCTCACACACTCCTGGTGGGAATAAACCACCTCTTTGGAAACAGTTTGGCAGTTCTTCAAAATGTTAAACAGAATTATCGTAATATCCAGCAATAAGGCATATACCCAAGAGGAGTGAAAACATAGGTCCACACAAAAACTGGTACACAAATATGAATGGAAGCATTATTCATAATAGCCAAAAAGTGTAAACAATTCCAACGTCAATCAACTGATGAATGGATAAACAAAATAATATGTATCAGTTGGCCATAAAAAGCAATGAAGTTCTGGTTTATATATCACAACATGGATGAACCTTGAAAAACTATGCTAAGGGAAATAAGCCAGAGACAAAAGGCCATATATTATATGATCCCATTTCAATGAAATGAAATATCCAAACTAGCCCAATCTATAGAGGCAGAAAGTAAATTAGTAGTTACCAAGGACTGGGGAAAGGGGACAGGAAAGGGGAGAATGGGAAGGGATGCCAAAGCTTTTGGGATGATGAAAATACTCTAAAATTAGATTATGACAATAACTAGATTATATTTACTATGAATACACTAAAGAGCATTGAATTATATATTTTAAACAGGTTGCACTTCATGCTGTGTAAAATGCATCTAAATAAAGCTGTTAACAAACGAGTACTAGTATCTATTTGTATGATCTTGAGCAATGTCTCAAGATCTCTGTCTGCAAACTTTGCATTTTCTTTGTGTAGTCTGTTTGGACTATATGGTCCTGTGTAGTAACAAACTACCATGACTTCTCAACATAACTTCTTTCACTATCTCATTTCTCAGGGGTTGGTAGATACAGAGAAACTGACCAGATGAAGAAAGTCACTTCCTGTAGTAATTCCACTGGGCACAGCTCAGTTCTAATTAACAATCTCCATATAATTACAGTATGTCCAAGTATATATTTTGTTTGTTTCATGAGTGCCAAGTAAGTAGAGAGGGAAGTGGAGACAAAAATGGGAAGAACTAAGCAAGTGATAAGGAAGCAGTTCTATGAACTCCACCAGAAAATCTTGTAAATCCTTTTTGGAAAACTGGTCACAAAAAAACCAAAATGGTCTTTTTAGAATGAGTTCCTATGTTAACTTCCTATTCTTTATGGGAGAAACTCACATTTAAAGCAAAACAGCTACACAACTTTCACAAGTCTATGGTGAATTATTTTAAATATTCTAGTGACCAGCAAGTATCTTTTGAATACTTTTCTGTCCTTTATCAGAACTATTCGTTCACTTCTCATATGGTATCACTTATATATAAAATCTGTAATAAGTAGACAAGAAGTATGAAATGGGTTATTAAGAAATATCTGTGTATTCATCACAATCTTGCTCCAACTTTGGATGAGGAAATATCAAAGTAAGAGCTAAAAGTCTCTATTATACTGTAATTTCATCATCTACTTCTTACTCATTAAGTATCTGACACCCACCAAAAATTAGTAACTGAGCAACGATATGCTTTCACACTTAAGAACACAGGAATGAATATCTTAAAATGATTTTTTTTTTAAGTTCAGTGGTAGGTCTTGAATTTGGAACATGCTTATTTTCAAAGAATCATCCTCTAGATGTCACCGGAGGATATGTTAAAAAAAAAAAAAAAAAGTTGCTGGATGAAAAAGAAGAGGTCCCCGGATAACTGTACACCAGTGACTGGATTAAGTTTCCTTTTTGTTTAGACATCTAGAAGATTTACCTTTATCCACAACAGCTGAAACTGTATGCCCTTCAATGTACACCATATCACATATCAGAAATACGTGCGAGGAAGCACGAGAGCACACAAGTGTTTAGTACTGAAGCACTTTAATAGCCAATATTCTTGGCTGACAGTAGTAGTATCAACTCTTAAAGATAACTCACTAATTTATTCAACAAATATTAAGGGCCTACTGTATGCCAGGCACTGAAACTGGAGATGAGAATATAGCAGTGAATATATACATACAGTCCTTGCCCTCATGAAGCTTTTAGTCTACTGAGAGAAAGATAATGAACAAGATTTGAGTATAGTTTGTGACAAATGCTACAAAGGAATGGTGCAGAGGACAGTGATAGAGGATACCTTAGTTGATCAGAGAAACCCTCTTTTAGGAAGGTCTATTTAAGAACGACCTAAAGGATGAGAAGTCAGTCACAAGAAGAGCAGAGAGACAAGCATTCCCAACTGAGGGGTCATGTGTGAAGGCATTAAGATGGGAAGACTTGGGAGTACGCTTCAAGAGCTGAAAGGAGGCTGGTGGAGGTGAGGCATTTTGGGTGAGGCTTGGGAGGCAGGAAACTAGGTCATGCAGGGCCTTTTAAGTACAGGAAGGAGTTGGAACATTATTCCAAAACATTGGAAGTTTTTTTTTCTTCGTCTTCTTTTCCAAGATTTTATTTATTTATTTGACACACTGAGATCACAAGTAGGCAGAGAGGCAGGCAGAGAGAGAAAGGGGGAAGCAGGCTCCCTGCTGAGCAAAGAACCCGATGTGGGGCTTGATCCCAGGACCCTGGGATCATGACCCGAGCCGAAGACAGACGCCTTAACCCACTGAGCTACCCAGGTGCCCCCACTGGAAGTTTTAAAATACGAGAACATCATGGTCTTATGTTTTCAAAATATTACTCGGGCTCCTGAGCAGAGAAAAAAATTGCAGTGAAGAGGCTACTTGCAATTATCCTAAGCAAGAGATGATGGTCGCTTAGGCTAGAATGATGGCTATAGACACAGGACATTTTTATGAGCTAAACATGAAAGGATCTCCCCAAATGAGAAAAGAAATGATACAACTCATTTATATACCAGATGAGGCAAATGAGGAAAAGGAAGAAATCAAAACAGCTAAGTAAGACTGAGAAAAGAAAACACCGAGCTGAGGAGGGAAGCAATTTAATATTGCACGTATCATGTTTGATATGCTGATGTAACACCGGAGCAGAGATGTAAGCCAAGCACTCAGATGTATGCTCTGATCTCAGAGGAGAGATCTAGGCTTTCCATATCAATTTGTACTTAGAATATTCTGATTTTTGAAGTACATACTTAGTCGTGCACACACTTCTGGAATTCTTTGTTAGATTTTGGAAAAAACTGGAATAAGCCAGTAAAATGTGATAAAGTTTTTAATCTATCAAATACCTTTTTGGGGGGTTAGGAGGTAAATCATAAAATTAATGTGTTCTTTAAAAATCAAATATTTTTGAGTAACTAAAATGATATAACAAAAAACCTCCCCAACACCTAGAGTGAGTTAGGGAAACATTTCAAAGAGGAGGCCCAAGGTAAATAAAAAAGTGGAAAACACAATCGTAAAACTCTCCAGAAGTTCTTAGTTCTAAGTTTCTCATTAGACAATCCCTATTTTAGATTTGCACATGAGTCAGTAATTTCACATTTCCCTCCAATTTTTTTTTCTGTAATCTCCTTCATAAATACTTTTATAATGCCTTTTTCTTTTTAAGATAGAAAACTGTAGTCCTTGGGAAAGCTGTAACTCAGTGATTGACAACAACGAGGAAGGTTAAAACTTTACCCAACACACATAAACAATGAGACTTTTTATAGTCAAAGAATACTTGTTGGTAAATCTCACCTTACCAAAGAGAAGTATCATTATACTCTAATTTTGCACCTGCTATAACAATACTCACAGATCTGGGCTGCCCTGAGAATCTGCGGTTATAATCATTAATATCTTGACGCAATGATACAACCTCCTGAGATTGGTCATTTTCACCAAATACTGTTAGCAGTAAAGTCACCTGTATGTTACAAAAAAAACACTGTTAGACTTTTCTGTAGCATTAATTTTTTTCATTTTGTATTACTATTCAATAGAATGAGAAAAGTTTCTAAATTTATATTTCACTCATTTTTTTTTCAGTTATTTCTTTAAATAAAAGCAACATGGGGAGGAAAGTAAGGTACCATTGACTTATAATAAAATCCAATGTAAAATGTAATTTGAATTCCCATAAAATCAAATGGGTACCTCAAGCAAACACTGGTTCTAATATTTTCCAGTTCACACCAGGGATAAAGTCAGTAATGCTCTGGGCAAACAAATGATGAGAAAATATTCAGGAGCAAAGTAATATAAAAATACATCCTTATTATTGTGGGAGTGAAAAATTAGGGATGTGTTTTGTGAATACAATCATTATTCTTCAACCTCACTGGTATCTGAAGTATCTCTGAATGCTACCAAACATAATACAGAGATTAAGTTATTGCAGGAGCCCACTCTGAAGCACCCATCCCTACTATCATCAAAAAAGGTAATTTTTTTTTAAAGATTTTATTTATTTATTTGATAGACAAAGATCACAAGTAGGCAGAGAGACAGGCAGAGAGAGAGGGGGGAAGCAGGCTCCCCGCTGAGCAGAGAGCCCGATTCGGGGCTTGATCCCAAGACCCTGGGACCATGACCTGAGCCAAAGGCAGAGGCTTTAACCCACTGAGCCACCCAGACGCCCCCAAAAAGGTAATTCTTGCTACTAATATGTAACGTAATACTTTTAACCTGGTTTCCTCCATGGTAGAGGTAAAGATACATAAGCGTCCCAGGACCATACTGAGGTAATCTGAAGATGACAGTATCTTGAAAAACAAGTACATTTTAAAATATATCAATGCCTACAGAAATGGCCACTGTGTGAGGAGATAAAAATGGGAAGATTTAGGTTTAAATCATCTAGCTGTTTTTATCCTTCCTCAGTTCAGCTGTAAAACCAGGCCTTCCCACGACTCAGATGCTTTCCAAACAGCCAAGCAAAGGAGTGATGAAGAGCAAGGTGGTAGGAAAGCAGGTACACAGCCTCTCTTCACAAATTTGCTAATAAAAATGCATCTTGCAATGAATAGTAAGAGAGCACTTACTATGGGCCAGGCACTGTACTACAAGCTACATGGACCCCAAAACCGAAGACAGCCCTGCCCCTTGCCAACCACAACACCCAAGATGGAAGGGGAGGCAGACCTGTTACAAGGCGCTTGAGAGTATTGCTTGCGAATAAGGACTTCTGCCTGGGGTGCCCAGAAAGCTGGAAACCTAAGCTGGCCCTTGAAGTGCAGCTCGGGCCACTGGTGCATCGGCGTATGCGTTTGGGAAGAGAAGTGGTGAGCATGGTGCAGTCAGGTGTAGCTGCCCATGTACTGCATTAGCGGAACAGGGTGGGGAAGGGGTGCCTGCCACCTGTCCTACTTCCAGGATGTATTCTTCTATAGTTACAGAACCAAAAGCTATTATATAGAAACAATTTTATCTCTACCCTTCTGTATTTTAGCAATTTATGGGTGGTCAAAAGGATATCACCTGTATTTATATATATATATATCACATATATACCCTATGAAAAGCCACGGATAGAGCCAAGAAGAGGGGACAGGTGGTGGAACTAATTCTTTAATGTCAGACCTATGGCTTAGTCTCAGCATTGCTGGCAGATGGCTAACGATTATGAGAAGTGGTATTAGCAAATAAATTTCACTGGTGACGGACTTGTTTCATATAATCAAATCAGCCAGAGAAGCAGTACAAACAACATCAACAATAACAAAAAAACTCCACTGATTTTCCTCCTGCCGTGTGATACAAAGTCAAATGTGAAAGAGGCAGAATTTGGGAATGTAGAAGCAAGGGGGAAAGAAGATAAAGCCCTAAACTTCCCTCTCCATGCCACAAAATGAGGTAGTGATGGGGGTGAGTGGCTAGCCAGAACAAGGCTGAAAGGGTGTGTGTGTCTGTGTGTGGCAATACATGCTAGAGGGTTTTTTTTCATATAAAGTCCAAAAATCAGACAGAACTAGACAATAATCTTAGAGATGCATGCTAAGGTCATAAACCTATAAAGAAAGTCAAGGAAATGCTTATCATAAAAGTCAAATAGTAGTTGCCTCTAGGAGAGGAAGGAGGGGTTGGAGATTTAGTCCTGAGGAGGCTTCTGGGGGCTGTTGGCCAGTTCCTATTTCTTTATCTGAGTGGTGATTATTGAAGTGTTGCTTTGTGATAATTCAATGAGCAATATTTCTATGTTTTGTGTGCTTTTCTATATGTCTGTTATAGTTTACAAAGAATTTTAGAAAAATTGTTGCCTTTTCTACAATTTTGTTTCATTTTTTGGCCTCCATGAGTTTATGCCTTTACAAAATGTCCTGTTCTTTTAATGGGGTGGCCAAGAGCAAAAGTAAATACATGTATTCAATTTGACATCTTTACTTGAAAGCTCTCTATTCTTTCTGGACTTCACTTTGCACAGTGAAAGACTTCCTAAGGAGCTGCTCTCTTTTTACATGTTCATAACTCATTAGTAGAAAGGTAGGTATTTATTTTAGATGAAAGATAAAATAAGTATATAGAAAATTATGAAAAAACTGTATACAACTGATAGAATGTTCTATTTCACTATATTTACTAATTAAAAAACTAAGAACTTCATTTTCTCCAATTTTTCATTATTTTGCTTTTCCAGTTTGTCAAAGAAATTGAGAAAATCTGTGCTGACATTTCAGTCTTCAGTATATGTTTATAAAAACTTATCATCTCCCCCCTGAAGTAACTCCTATACTAACTAAAATAGTCTGATCTGTTCTGGATCATGTAATATAGATATGTCTCCAAAAGACACATTTTAAAAAACTATTGTTCATCATATAAAGCTATCTAGACCCTCACTGGAGAAGGGCAGTTTAAAAGTAAACTGAAAGGGGAAAACATTTTTTTATATGTAGGGGAAATATCTGGTTAAGCCTGATTAGCTAGTTCAGTTATTCCTCTGTTGATATTACAACAAAGACTTACTAGAATTTTGGGGAGGATTCATTTACCAGTTTTTTACTATAATTGAAAGATTTAGAAAGGTATTTCCCTTTTTTGCTGTCTTTAAGACATTAAAAAAATAATGGAGTAACATTACAGAAGCTTTGATAAACAGAACTTCCTATGATCCAGCAATTGCACTAGTAGGTGTTTACCCAAAGAATACAAAATACTAATTCAAAGGGATACATGCACCCCAATGTTTAGCAGCATTATTTACAATAGCCACATTACGGAAGAGCCCTGGTATCTACTGACTGATGAATGAATAAAGAAGATGTGGCATGTATATATAGTGGAATATTACTGAGCCATAAGGAAGAATGAAATCTTGCCATTTGCAATGAATGGATGGAGCCAGAGTATTATGTTGAGTGAAGTAAGTCAGAGAAAGGATCTCTGACCCTAGGATCTCACTCACACTTGGAATTTAAGAAACAAAACAAGAAAAGGGGGAAAAAAAGAAAGGCAAAGAAAGAAACAGACTCTGAATTAAAGAGAACAAACTGATGGTTACTAGAGGAGAGGTGGGTGGGGGAACGGGTGAGACAGGTGACTGGAATTCAGGAGTGTCCTTGTGATGAGCACTTGTGTGGAAGTGTTGTGTGGAAGTATTGTATACCAGGAACTTCTATTACCCTATATGTTAACTAACTGAAATTTAAATAAAAACTTAAAAAAAAATCAAAACAATTCAAAAGTAGATACAGAAATTATTAAAATTTATAATATGAACTAGCATAAATGATGCTTTCTGGATACAAACATTACCGTTTGTCGACAGATTGGACAACTGATTGCCCCAAGCCATGAACCATATCGCCAGTATGCAATAATGCAGGTACCTAATGAGTGAAAAAAAAAACATTAATACTGATGTTTTAAATTTCAAGGCCCATAAATCCTCAGAAAGTTTCAAATATTTGAAATATTTTTATAGTATCATCTTTTTTTTTTTTAGATTTTATTTGTTTATTTGACAGACAGAGATCCCAGGTAGGCAGAGAGGCAGGCAGAAAGAGAGAGGGAAGCAGGCTCCCCGCTGAGCAGAGAGCCCGATGCGGGGCTCGATCCCAGGACTCTGGGATCATGACCTGAGCTGAAGGCAGAGGCTCCAACCCACTGAGCCACCCAAGCGCCCCTACAGTATCATCTTATTTTAAAATATTTTTTATTTCATCCAACCAACTCTTTAGGCAAATTTAAATCTCATAATAATTCCCAGCCACTGAAAATATTTTTATTTAAACTACTAGTTAAGATACAGGCATTTTTATATTAATCCAAAGCAAGCATATATTACTGCTTCAATGATGAGCCTTAATAGAAATATTGCATTTCCTATGTAGAATAAATAAACATCATTGCAAATATAACAACCAACAAATCACTGTATAAATAAATTTTCTGTTCCAAATTTGGTATATATGTTACAAAAACACCACTTCTATTTTTTTTTAAGAATTTAGAAAGCCAAGTTACAGTGGCATCAATAATAATTATTAAGAACCATAGGATACGAAGATTACATGCTGTTTGACCTAATAAAGTTTATAATCCAGTTCAATAATTGAACCAACTTTTGTAGTGGATGAATTTGATTTTTCTGCTAGAAGGTGTTCATGAGCAGCAGAACAGCTTTAAGGCAGAGTTTATAGGCCTCAAAAAGTAGCAGGTAAGCTAAAGGCAAAAGCACTAAAGTTTAGGCCACTAACAAATGAAGAAGAAATATTTTATTTTATTTTTTAAAGATTTTATTTATTTATTGGACACAGAGAGCAAAAGCAGGGAGGGAGAGAGGGAGAAGCAGGCTCCCTGCTGAGCAGGGAGCTTGACATTGCACTTGATCCCAGGACCCTGGGATCATGACCTGAGCCACCCAAGTATCCCAAGAGGAAATATTTTAAAACACTGTCCAGGGGCATCTGGGTGGCTCTGTGGGTTAAGCCTCTGCCTTCGGCTCAGGTCTTGATCTCAGGGTCCTGGGATCAAGTCCCGCATCGGGCTCTCTGCTCGGCAGAACCTGCTTCCCACCCCCCCCTTTGCCTGCCTCTCTGCCTACTTATGATTTCTGTCTGTCAAAGAAAGAAAGAAAGAAATCTTAAAAAAAAAAAAAAAAAAACACTGTCTGATGTTTGAGGGGTCAATTCATTTCTTCTCTGCAGAACACCTATTTCTCAGACAATCCAGGTCCCACTGTGAATCTGAATTAAGTGCTTCCAGCCTCCAGGATCTTTTCTGTTTTCTTACTCTTGTCTTAGCAACCTAGCTTAGCCCTCCTGAATTCCTTATTCTGATTCTTCCAGATCAAATTAATGTCCAGAATTTAGAATGAGCAATGACAGTCAAATTGAGAAAACCAAGATGACATAGTGAAGTCAATCAGAAGATAGTTAAATCACAAAACCGTTTACTGTTAACTTTAAGTACAAAGGGAATATAGGAGGGAGAACTCTGGGATGCAGCAGAGAGTAATACGTAGGTGAGAAAGGATTTGAACTGAACTTTGTAAGTTAGGTAAGATTTAGATATAGAAAACAGAAAGGAGCATGCTCCCAGTATAATGAATAGAAAGAAGCAAATGCCAGAAGTGAAATAAATGACATCTGAGGAGAACGGTGAGCAAACCAAGGGGCTAAGCAAAGGCTATCCACATTGGACATTATAGTGACTATGGGGAAAAACAGGTATGATGATTTAAAGATGAATTTAAAAACCAAACAATATCTGGTATCTTTTCCTACTCTCAGAGTTCTGTTAGATAATATTTATTAATCTGAACAACCTAATTTCACACAGAAACTATATGAAAACAAAACTTCTAAACCTTTTTAGTATTATTAACATCCATAGTGATGCCTCAGCTCTATCTACTACTTGTTCGCTCCAAAATTCAATGTGTCTTGACATATATTCACTTATTTAATTCCACATCTCTTTCCTACAAATTGGAGTACGGTGTCCTTGCTTTGTAAATTATGTAATGGCCACTGACTGCACAGAAAAACTACGGTCCAGCAAATCAAATGCTCCAGTTCACACACATCTGCTATGATATTGCTCAAGGCTTTCCCTTTTCTTCAACTCTCCTCCCTATAAAAAGAGAGATCCACGTAAATAAGATGGTGGGAGAAGAAGACTCATTGACTTTAATCTGGGTCATAATCTCCCAGAGTCTGTTTATTTGTAAAATGGGCATAACACTTCATAAGACTGCTGAAGAATTAAGTAAAACAGTGTGGGTTACAAATGTAAGTGAGATAAGTCTGTTGTTGCTATTTTTCTTAGCTCACTGTAAAGGAAAAGAACTGTAGTTCCATATATAGGAACTAAGCTAAGGTGCCTTTTATATATATGTAGTATCAATATACTTGAACTACTATTCAAAGAAACACATTTGTTTCTTGAGAAGCTGAATGACTAGTTTTCTAAATCTTTGAACCTAGAGACAGTATATAAAGTGTCTAACAAGTACAGCAGGCTATCAGAAGCAATCTACCCAATTACCTCAGACCCAGAAACCAAGAACACAATACAGCCATCTTTTATCCACTCAGTGAATTACCTAAGCCTGGGTTGGCAAATGGAGTTCATCTAGCCTGCCAAACCTCATTGATTCTTAACACATGCCTCGAGTACTGTGTTAAAGGATGGCTGAGGCTGTATCTAGACTTGGAAAGAATGTCCAATTGATTAAGAACATCTACCAGAGGTTTGAGAAGGGGAAAAGTATCTGCTTTCTCTGATGGCCATTTAATTCTATCTGGTACTCCATGATTTTGCAGCTCATTAGCATTCCCAACAGACCAAGACAGACATTGAAATGAGTGTTTTATAACTTGTTAGCTATATTAGAGAAAAACCTTAGGGAAGAGGATGAGATTAATGGATGATGCAATAATGATATTGGTCAGTGTTTACTAAAGGAGCACAGGTAGAGAAAACCCTGCAGTGCATGATATGGATTTCAAATTATTTATGTCATCCCCAAAGTATAAATAATAGCACTATATACCTAGTAATTCCATATAAACTCAAACAACAAAGGGGGAAAAGAAACTTAAAGGATCATTGTATGCTACATTTTAAACTGTCTTAAAATGGAAAATGGGTACATTTTGGGAGCAGTTAGAACCCTATCTAGAACACACCATTGAAACAGAAAGAAATACTACAAATAAAACAACAGATTTAGTGAATGGATAAAGTAGAGAGTAGTCGTAGAAGCTACTAATCACATAGCAGAATTGACCACAGGGTCTGAAGTTAGGCCTACATTTAAAATCTGGCTTTCTCCTAGCAGCTGGGTTACCTTTTGCAGAATTTCTTAACTCAGCTGCAGTTCCCTCATATGTGGAACTCAAGGAGATGAAGTATGTTAAGTGCCCAGCACATAGTAGGCATGCAATAAACTGATCCGCTCAATCTCATATGACCGTAGTGAGAACTGACTATATGGTATCTCATTCTTTATGAAGTCTTTCTGGAGGGTCAGGATAAACACCCCAGAGGTAGAAAGGATCCCTTACTGATACTAGGCCAAGTGTGCAATCTATGCTCCCTTCCTGTCCGACTGTATGTCTACATTCAACATTCTCTCTAACCAACCCTCTGAGGTCATGACAAAAAAAACGGCTAATAACTTTTGTGCTGATGCAGGGTAAAAAGGAGGGAAGAAGGCTAAAGGGAAGGTCGTGGGCAGGGTCCTTAACAGAACTTCCCTGCCTTGGGAAGGATGAATAATAAATGAGACTACTAAAAAGTGATAAACCATGAGGGATTTAGTGTATTCCTCTTGGTATTCATATACTTGAATTACCACTCAAAGAAACACATTTCTGTTTACTGAGAAGTTGAACGACTCGTGCTTTTTAATCATTGAGCTCACAGACACTAAATAAAAGTGGCTAACAAGTACAGCAGGATATCAGAAGACATCTACCCAATCATGTAATACAAAATGTGACAAAATTAAGAATCCAACCCATGTAAATATATGGGTCTTGGTCTAAAAGAGTCACTTTCCCCAAATATAGCATTGTTTGCTTACCACAGAAAAGATGTCCACAGTTTGTTTCCACAGGGAAGGAGGCCTGGTGTAAACAGATTGGACAGTACATGTCAGTGTAGAACTGCTGTCGAGCAGCAGCAGGGGCATCCTGATGAGAAAATACGTATTCATGATTATACATGATTATCTCTAGGAGTACCATCATACCCAAGAACACAGCCAGAGCGCATAAGCCTCAACCAATCTTAGATGTGCAGTAAAGTCTTGTAAGTTTGATAAAGTTATGAGGCTGTATCATTGTTTTATTTAAGCTGCATGGTCTCTACCTTCCTTCCTGAACATGACATAAAGACAAAAACCTGTATTAACTCCGGAGTTTCTCTTTCACTCTGTTGGAATGAGTAAGTTATTCTGAGAAACACAAGGCTGAGCTAATGCAAAAGCTCAAGAAATGTCCAACTCTTTCCCAAGTATTAGCTTTTAATCATTTTTTAACTTAAATAAAATTAACATATACTGTATTATTAATTTCAGAGGTAGAGGTCAGTGACTCATCAGACTTATATAACACCCAGTGCCCATGACACACCGTGTGCCCTCCTTAATGTCCATCATCATGTTACCCCATCCTTCCCAACCCCACCTCCCTGCTTTAACCATTTTTAACATCTTTTTCATTCATACGTTCCTGACAAGTGTTGCATGTATGCTGTACCTCACAAGCGTCCAGAATTAAACTTTCAAAGAAGAATAGTGGTCATTTTGGAAGAAGGAAAATTTAATATATTGGTAACTTGGGCTTAATCATTCACATGGTCAGATTAATAAAATTTAATGTTTCTCAGTTATGTCACTCTTGTGATTGTACAGGAATGTAGAGTAGAATCACCACTGCAAGAAGCATCCACATATCAAAGAACCCACCAGAAAGTAAGTGATATGAAGATAAGGACATTATCTATAGGATTCATTGTAGTGGCCCAGGAACTAGAAAAGTATCTAGCAGTAGTGTGTAATATGTATCTTTTAAAAGACATATAAAAACCGATTTTTATCACATCTAGCACAACTCTTATAAACAAATTAGCCAGCATTAAAAACATCAAATTACCAAATTTGCTAAATATGAACTATTCATTGTAAACTGAATCAAAGATTTCTGTCACCTAAAACTAAGAACGTAACTAAAACCTCCTTCTTAAATTAGTTCTAAAATACTGCAATAGTTTATAAGCCACAGCGACATGTTGATGTTATTGCCTTTTATATCATTTTAAATGGTGCAAAAAAGAAAAACATACAGCTCTTAATGTCTCCCCTCTATCTTTTGTCTTCATTATTATTATTTGGAAATTAACTAAAAACCAAAACCAAAACCAATTACCGGTGCTGTCCAACAGAACTTCATGCAGTAATGGAAATCTTTATCTGTGGGTACTGAGTACTTGAAAGGTGACTAGTATAACTAAAAAGTACTGAATTTTAAATTTAATTTTAGTGAATTTAAAATTAAATAGCTACATATGGATAGTGGCTACCATATAGGACAGTGCAAAAAGGGCTAAGTCACTAGCTTTATTCTAACTAGAGCTAAATGCCATGTCTGAGGAAGGTGTGGGAGAGGTGAACTGCACAGTGGCTCAAAGGCATCTGGAAGATGCCACTCAGTGTGGGACTTCTGGATAGCCAGATCCATTCATGTAACTCCAGCAGGAATTTAAGTCCATCTTCGTGATCTAATATGTTAGATGGGAATGATACTTACTGACTTACTGACCATGTTTGCAAATTAAATAAAACAGTTGTATGTGAAAACACTCTGTAAATTAGAAAACACTATCCCAGCATGAATTATTACTAACAGCAGCTCTGGAACAGAGTACCAGAGTACTACTAACACGCTTAAACTACTTCTGCATCAGTGAATTTAAGTTTTGAAGGCAGGAATTCTTATTTGTTTAGCTCACAGCTGAATCCTTAATGCCTAGAACAGTGTCTGGCATATGGTAGATGTTTAATAAATATCTGGTGAATGAATAAATTGTGAAACACTCTTTGGAATTAAATTTTGATTGGTGAGTGGGAAATCAATTTTTATTTTTTTAAGATAAGCTATTTTGGCATGAAGATGTACAATATCCTACTCAGTCCAGCCTTCATGAAACATATTATATTTCTGGCTCTTAGAGTCCATCTGGTGAAAAGCACAGAAGGGAAAGAAAAGTTTTCTTCTTTGCCTAATTAGTTTTGCTAACTTTGACCACGGGAGAAAAAGAAGAGGAACAAAAAGCCACCCCTTGTAGTCCTCTTTTTGTAGGTCTCCAGGCAATATGTAGGTCATTGGGTAAAAAAAAAATAGTTTTTCTACTACATTTCATTAAAGCCAATTAGACGGTGGTTATTTCCTCACAAATAACAGGAAAACTGCTGTTTTTAAAGCAAGTTAAACACACAAACACACACACACACCTATGAAAATATCTGAGTAGTTAAGACTAGTCATTTACCTAATTTGAAAATATACAATCAATAGAATAGTTTAAATAACAAAGCAGGAAATCAGTTCATGTTTCCAAAAAGTTATTTGCTCTTTCATCACAATTTCATATGCAAGGGGAATAATAAATGTTACTCCTTATATAAATGCACATATCCATGTAACAACAGTACCTGTTCTGTTTGAAGTTGCTCCCGAAGTACCCTTACTAACTCTTGGTTTTCTGGGTGAATGTTCTGATGTGCATTTCTGTTGAGTAAAACATAATAAGTTTGAATGTAAAATATTGTTAGATGAATCAGTTTTCTTTTTGTAAGATTTTTTTTTTTTACACCTTTATTTATTTACTTTTCATTTAGTTTAAATCCTTGAAGGGTAGAGCATCACACGGATTCTGTGGCCAATGGCTTTAGCAGGAAGGCTGCTTTGGAATTTGGCATGAACCATGCCACTGTTTCCATGAGAACAAGCTTTTCCCCAGATTACTCTGGTTTTGTTTGGTTGGCCACCAGGAGTCACTGTGTTGGTCCTTGCTTATACACAGAAGCACACCTCTTGCCTATATAGAATTGTTTCATCTTAAGCATAAACACCTTCCATTTGAAGAACTATGTGCTCCCTATGACTCCAAAGACCCAGCTTACAGCAAAAATGGCCTTGGACCACAGCCCTCCAGACATGCTTTGGCATTTTAGATGTCCTGTTCCTAGCAGGCGTCCATAGGCTCCAAGATGGCAGAAAAAGAAGATTTTTTTTTTTTTTAAGTAATCTGTACATCCAATGTGGGTCAGGACCCCGAGATTAAGAGTCACATGGTCTACTGACTAAGCCAGCCAGGCACCTCAAATCCGTTTTCTTTTTTCTTTTTTTTTTTTTTAATATTTTATTTATTTATTTGACAGAGATCACAAGTAGTCAGAGAGGCAGGCAGAGAGAGAGGAGGAAGCAGTCTCCCTGCTGAGCAGAGAGCCCGATGTGGGGCTTGATCCCAGGACTCTGGGACCATGACCTGAGCCGAAAGCAGAGGCTTTAACCCACTGAGCCACCCAGGCGCCCCTCAAATCAGTTTTCTTTATGGGTCTAAGTTTCAACCAAGAACTACTGGTAACTTCATAAATGCAAATGATGGCATATAACTCTCCAATTCCAGGACTGAACATTCCAGGTTACTCTGTGAGGAATTCTAGGATCACTAAGTATGGGCTGATTTCAGGTTCAACTGGCAAATGATGAAATCCAGAGGCCTAAGACCTTGTATCTTATTTCATGTAACTGCAGGCTTACAAATCATATGAAGAATAACTAATACATTTATTTCTTCTGTAAAATTCCTTCCAAAAAAAGCCAACTACATAATTATATTATTATGCATTTGAACATTTATCCATATCTAATTAGATCTTTCCACCTATAAGGGGAGGGGTGTAGCAGAAAATAACACTGTATCATATAGAAAAGCCCAAACCTAACATACCACTAATATCTTAACATTAACAATTCAAACAGAGACTCAAAGGCAAGAATTTAGAGGCTGAAATAAAGGATGAGATAAGACATGTGGGTGACTGGAAATCAGAACTCGTGGTTAGGCTGGCAGGGTGAGGGTGAAGATCTCCATCTGATTCACTTAATTCCATTTGGCCACCCAGGTTCCCTTAAACTTAAACATTTTTTTTAAAGATTTTATTTATTTAAGAGAGAGAAAGAATGAGGGAGAGAGAGCACGAGTGGGTGGGGGAAGGTTAGAGGCAGAAGCAGACTCCCAGCTGACCAGGAAGACTGATGTGGGATTTGATGTGGGACTCAATCTTGGGACTCCTGGATCATGACCTGGGCTTAACCAACTGAGCCATCCACGCTCTAAATATTAATACTTTTGACAGCAATATTTTAAGTTCACAAAATCCCAGCATTACTCTAGTATATAAGAGCCTTTATTCTCCCGGTGAGCTAATAGTCAACAGTGATAAAAGCTCTAAATCAGGGTCACCTGGGGGGGGGGCTCAGTCAGTTGGGTTTCTGACTTTTGATTTTGGTTCCAGTCATGATCTCAGGGTCATGGGATCGAGCCTTGTGTCTGGCTCTGTTCAGCGGGAAGTCTGCTTGAGGTTCTCTCACTCCCTTTCCCCTCCCCCCACCAAAATGAATGGATAAATCTTTAAAAACTAAACAACAAAACACACACAAAAACAAAACAAAACAAAAAACACCCCCCTCTACATGAATATCCTAATGAGACAGGGAAAAGTTTTTAAAATACATCTTATTATTATTCAACTTTTAGTAAATAATTCAAATTTTAGATAAAAAGCTGACAAAACATGAACATTAGTTCTGACAGAACATTAAAAAAAAAGTCAAATATCTAATCGTAAACTAAACATAAGGGTACCTGAGTGGCTCAGTCAGTTAAGTGTCCGTCTTTGGCTCAGGTCATGATTCCAGGGTCCTGGATCAAGCCCCACATACTGCTTCCTGCTCAGTGGAGGAAAAGAGCCTGCTTCTCCCTCTCCCTCTGCTCCGCTCCCCTCCTCAAATAACACAACATAACATAACATAACATAACATAACATAACATAAACCATGAATGTAATAAAGCTACTTGAACTGTTTAAATATCTTAAATTTCGGTAGATTATTTATTTTATTTTTTAGAAGATTTTATTTATTTATTTGACACAGAGAGAGAGATCACAACTAGGCAGAAAGGCAGGCAGAGAGAGAAAGAAGGAGAAGCAGGCTCCCCACGGAGCAAGGAGCCCGATGTTCAATCCCAGGACCCTAAGACCATGACCTGAACCAAAGGCAGATGCTCAACCAACTGAGCCACCCAGGCGCCCCGGATTATTTATTTTAAATAGTACCTTCTCATGACTGAGTAAACATCTCCAGAAGAAAGCTACCCTCTGGTGGAAACAATCTATCAGGGCACAGCACATGAACCATCTTATTTGAGTACCAGTACACACCTAACTAAACATTTCTCTAGGACACTTGAAAACCATTCCCTTCTCATTGGAAAAAGACAGTATTTTTCAGAGTATAGATATAAACCATGTAACTGTAAGGTCTTTCTTTTGGTTTCTTTCCATAAAGGAGAAGGTAAAAGACTGTAAAATCTGGTAGTAGAATGTTAGAAAAGTCAAAGTATAGCCAGAGAACAAGAACAAACAGCCTGAGATGCTGACATGGCCTGTAGCTCGGAAGTTAAGTGTGATTAGCAACTATGAGCACAGAACCAAAAATCTAGAAAATAAAGGGATAATTAAGACAGACTGAAAGCTAGATTAGACAGTCTTCAAAATATGATTATCTAGGGACGCCTGGGTGCTTCAGCTGGTTAAACAGCTGCGTTCCGCTCAGGTCATGATCCTAGAGTCCTGAGATCAAGTCCCACAGCAGGCTCCCTGCTCAGGGAGGAGCCTGCCTCTCCCTCTGCCCGCCACTCCCCTGCTTGTGTGCTCACAACACGTGTGCGCGCATGCTCTCTCTCTCTCTAAGAAATTTTAAAAATCTTAAAAAAAAAAAAAAAATCCCCTGGTGGACCAGGGGATTGGGCATCTGCCTTCAGCTCAGGTCATGATCCCACAGTCCCAGAATCGAGCCCCACATTGGGCTCCCTGCTTCTGTCTCCCTTTGCTGCTCCCCGTGCTTGTGCTCCCTTTCTCTCTCTGTCAAATAAATAAGTAAAATCTTTAAAAAAGAAAAATATGACTCTTGGTTTCTACTTAGGTAACAATCTCAGGGTTATGCAATCAAGCTCTGCGCTCAGGGGGGAGTCTGCTTGAGATTCTCTCTCTCCCTCTCCCCCTACTCATGTTCTCACTCTCTAAAATAAATAAATAAATCTTTTAAAAAATGTGATCATCTCAGCTATGAGAAATAACACTAAGTAGGTCTGAATAAAGTAAGATGCCAGGAAAACAGTGAGTCTAATACAGAAACAAAGTACATCATTTACTAATGATTAATGGTCCTTCATTATTCTTCGAAAGGAGAAACCAAAATCAACAAGTTACGTGGCCCTGGAAAGAAGCCAGGAAGCTCTAATATGAAGAAGGAAATGATGCCCAAACCCTGGGTCAAGAAACAAAGTTTTAATCAAAGTTTACAAATGCACAAGTCTGTGGTTTATACGTTAAACTGCTTTACCAAACCTTTTGGACTGGCTTTTGGTATGTCAACAAATGGCAACTATTCACAACAGCTTAAGACAAATTTATTATAACTATAATATATTGCTGAAGGAAATTAAGAAGACACAAAAAATGGAAAGACATCTTGTGTTCACAGACTGAAGACAATATTTCTAAGATGTAGGTTATCAGCTGATTTTTCACAGACATTTTGTTGGCCAAAAATAACTGGTATGATATATTCAAATTCCTAAAGTAAAAGCCTATAACCAAGAATACTCTATCTGCTAGAGTTGTCATTCAGAATTGAAGGAGATATAAAAAGTTTCCCAGATGAACAAAAGTTAAAGGAGTTCATCGCCACTAAACCAGCCTTACAAGAAATGTTGACTTCTTTAAGCAGAAAAGAGAATGTCAAAACTATAAGCAACAAAATTATGAAAGGAAAAAATTTCACTGGTAAAGCAATCATACAGTAAAGGCAGTAGATCATTCACTCATAGAATTAGTATGAAGGTTAAAATACAAAAGTAGTAAAATCAACCATATCTATAGAAACTAGTTGAGATACACACACATGCACAAAAGAGAACATATGAATCTTGATCTCAGGGTCATGAGTTCAAGCCCCCACGTTATGTGCAGAGCTAACTTAAAAAAAAAAAAGACATACATAAAATACATGTAAAATATGACATCATGCACATAAAACATGCAGGGGAAGGAGCAAAAATGTATTGCTTTTACAATGTGTATGAACTTAAGCATCTTCAACTTAACCAGTATATATAGACAGCTAAATATACGTAGGATGTTATATATGAATCTCATGGTAACCACAAACCAAAAGCCCATAATAGATACACAAAACATACGAACAGAATCCAAGCAAACACTTAAAAAAAATCCTCAAATTACAAGGCAAGAGAGCAAAAGAAAGGATAAGAGAAGAACAAAAACAACCAGAGAATAGCTGACAAAATGTCAGTGACTACAAACTTATCAATAATCACTTTTTATTTTTAATTTTTTTTCACCATTTTAAGTGTAGTCTTTACTCCCTATCACCTATTTTACTCATCCTCTTAACAACTTCCCCTCTGGTAACCACCA